ACTAGTCATCATAACCCAATCAATCATTTCTCAACCCCCCGCCCCCAGGAAAGAGACCCTGTATTGTTCTTGTGTAAATCAATATATGTCCATCTTTCAGTTCTTCCTTTTAGATTAGAAGCTTTGTGCTATCAGAGTCAACTCCCCCCACTATGTAGGTACAGACACCTCCTTCCATATAGTGATATCTTACCAGACACTACTCCTTATAAGAGTTTTAGTTTGGGCAAATAAAAAGTTATGGGAAATGTGGGGGGGTTTGTCCCATGTAAACACCCCAAGAAATCTCAAGTAAGATGTAGAGGGTGGATAGTGCAGCTTCAACCACCAGGCTGAAGAAGGTTTAATACATACATATTTGTGTCATAAGAAAGAAGTAGAAGAGAATCTCTACTGCTTAAGATCAGAGGAAAAGGAGCCTGGGTGTCTCCGTTAGCTAAGCATCTGACTCTTGATCTTGGATCAGGTCATGATCTCAAGTTGTGAGATTAAGCCCTGTGTTGGGCTCTGTGCTCAGTGCAGGGTCTACTTGTCCCTCTCTCTCTTCTCCTTCCCCTGTGCTCATGCTCCTCTCTCAAATAAATAAAAGAATAAAATATTAAAAAAAATAAAATCAGAGGGAAGACCTAAAGACTCAAAGAACCTAGAATTCTGCTGACAAGAAAAAATAACTGTAGTCCCTTTCATCACCACCCCCATGTTCCTTTTCAGACTCTCACTACCTTTAACTAGGATTTGTACAATATGCTCTTAGCTGAAATGAAGACCTGACTTTCTTACAGATTCATCTAAGACCTCAAACTATCACTGGAATATCTTTCTAAATATTGATCACATTATAAAACTCTTCTGTTGATAAAACATTAAGTAGTCTTCACTCTTCAAGTTCAGTATCTGAATTACTTAAATTAAGCTGAAACAATGTGACTTTTTTCTTTAACTCCTCCCCCCCATTTTACAATATATAATTCATACTAAACTACTATATAATGAAGGAAGAAAGCCAGTAGAAAGTGAACAGTTAAAGAATAAGAAAGAGGAAGACGAAGGGGGATGGTAACGATGGGGAGATAATTATCTCATTTATACCCACATACATTGACCCTTGAACAACGAGGGGGAGGGATTAGGGGTGCTGACCTCCATGCATCAAAATGTGATATAATTTTTGAGTCCCCCAAAACTTAATTACTAATAGCCTACCATTGACTGGAAGCCTTACCAATAACATAAACAGTCGATTAACATATATTTCCTAATATATATGTATATATATACATTATATATATTATATATGTATATATATTATTATATATGTATATTATTATTATATATATTATATGGTATATTCTTATAATAAAGTAAGCTAGAGAAAAAAATGTTATTAAGAAAATCAGAAGGAAGAATGCCTGGGTGGCTCAGTGGTTGAGTGTCTGCCTTTGGCTCAGGTCATCATCCTGGGGTGCTGGTATCAAATCCCTTTTCAGGGTCCTCACAGGAAGCCTGCCACTCCCTCTGCCTGTGTCTCTGCCTCTCTGTGTGTCTCTCATGAATAAATAAATAAAATCTTCAAAAAAAAAGAAAAGAAAATCAGAAGGAAATGAAAATATATGTATAGTATTATACTGTATAAAAAAATCATGTATAAGTGGATCCACACAATTTCAACTGGTGTTGAAAGGTCTACTGTATATTGCTAAGTTTAAACACAGCAAACAGAATTTTAAGTTAAAAAAAAAGTTTATTTGGGAACAGAAGAGAAATTACAATTCAGGACAGGAAGCTATGGTGAACCATAGGTAAGTCCAAAAAGACAAAAGGAAGGTCAGTTTTTATTAGGTTTTAGGAAGAAACTGGAATGGTGGTTTGAATAAAAGTTTATAGAAAGCATAAGCGTTTGAGGTTGTAGTGGTTTCTCATTATCTACAAGCAATGATTAGTGTGTTGTTGCTAGGGCGGGGAGGGATCTTCCTTCTTTTTCTAAAAATCAGGAGATATAATGTCCACCCTTGTTAAAATAATTCTTATCTTCCTTCTTCCTGCTGATTATGTAGACTATAATGAGGAGTACATGCTTGAGAGCTCCTCTTTCAGGACTTTCCAATTCCACTTGGAATTATTTCTGCAATATAAATAGAATTTTTTACTTGATGGCTTCTAAATTTCCATCTTCCTATCCAGACCCTACCATCCCAGATAGGCATATCCAGTAATCTCCACCATTTCCAGTGGGATTATTTTATAAATATTATAAATTATGAAGCCTGCTATGGAATTTCTTTTCCTTTTATTTTTTACAAATTGAGATTTTCCTCATTCAATCTCAAGAAAAACTTTGATTTTTTTCCCTTTGGCACATCTGAACTTTTTTTGCTGCTTCAGTTCAGCAGGCATTACCTTAAAATTACTTGGTATATATACTGCCATGAAATGCTTTTTTTCCATTATAGAAGTCACTATCTTGAATTTCTCCCTAAATCTGTTTTTGCCCAATCTTCCGCATCCTAATCAACAGCTGCACCTTCCATGTGTTGGCTCAGGTCAATGATCAAGGAGTCATTTTTCACTCTTTTCCCTTACCACATTTTCCTACTCAGTCCATCAGCAAATGGGGATAATCCTATCCACAACATATCTCTCAAATCCCTATATTTATCTCTCTTTCCACTTCTAACATCACCATGTTAGTCCGCAGTCATGGACTATCCACAATCACAATTCCTAGCCACAATCACCTCTTGTCGACTCTTCCTCAACACTTTCCATCTAGTCTTTGTTCCTTCAAACTTGTCGTACTCCAGTCCATTATTCTGTAGCATCAAGAGTCGTTGTCATAAAATTCAAATTGTATCAAGTGACTTATTGTCAATTTTCTGATGGCTTCTCAATACAGTGAAGACTCCTTTCCTCTCTAGCTCCATTTGCTGCAGTTCTCTCTTGAGCTTACTAGAATCAGCTACTCTTTGTTCAGTCCTCAAACTTATCAAGTCTTCCCTTATCTTTGAAAAGGTTCTCCCATCACTCTGCCTTTTCCAAGGATTCTCTGCACTATTCATGATTGCTGTCATTTTAATTTTGACTTTTTCTTAAGCTCTATGAGGACCAGGAGTTATAGTCCTTGACTGTCTTGCCCACTCTCTTATCCCCAGCTGCCTCTGCACTATTCCTAGGAGATAATTTCTTTTTTGTTATTGTTGGGTCATTTTTTTTTCTAATTTAAATTCAATTAGCCAGTGTAAAGTACATACTTAGTTTCAGATGGAGTGTGCAAGGATTTTTCAGTTGCATATAACACCCAGTGCTTCCTGGCAGATAATTTCTTAAATAATACCTTTTGAGCACAGAAACAGTTGAATCAATGTAAAACAAAACCCAATTAGAAGTATTATATTGGGGAAGGACATCTATTTCAATGCTACTAGAAAGAAAGAGGAAAGAGCTGGTCTGCAGAGGCGTATAGCTTTGGGCTATGAAGTTTCCTGAAGGCTTGATTTCCTCTCTGAATGAGGATAGGTCGCCTTCCTAGAATTAATATGTCGATTGAGGGGGTGTAGGATTTGAAGGGAACTACTGAAAAAAAAAATAAGATTCTATTTACCTATTTATGAGAGAGAGAGAGAGAGAGAGAGAGAGAGAGAGAGAGAGCGCCCAAGGCAGGGCTGGATCTCACCACCCTGAGATCATAATCTGAGCCAAAATCAAGAGTTGATCACTTAATGGACTGAGCCACCCTGTGCCTCAGGAGCCAGTGAAATTTGAATAACTACTAAAAGGAGTGGGAGACTTATGAAAGAAACTAGAAAAAATGTCCAATGGTTCAGATGGTGTTGGAGACCATGAGCTAGTCATGATCCCTCTTACTAGAATTGAGAGTTTTCTGCAACACCACTCAGCAGTGTAGGCTTTGGGGAGAAATCAGTTAGCTTCACTGAACCAATATTTAAAGTTTTAAGGACAGGTATGAGGAAAGTAAAAAGGCATTTTAAGAAAATCAAGAACAGTTGTGAAAGTGATTGCACTGATTAACAGACGTCTTAGGTTGAGTAGAGAAAGAGATGAAGCCAAATGAGTGCTAATATTCTGACAAAATGGGAGGGGGGGATCCCTGGGTGGCGCAGTGGTTTGGCACCTGTCTTTGGCCCGGGGCGCGATCCTGGAGACCCGGGATCAAATCCCACATCAGGCTCCCGGTGCATGGTCCCTCTGCCTGTGTCTCTGCCTCTTTCTCTCTCTCTCTGTGACTGTCATAAATAAATAAATTAAAAATTAAAAAAAAATATCTAAAAAATGGGGAGGGGTTGGGCACAGGAATGCAAGATTCCCTGTATCTGAAGAGAGCAGGGAGGCAGAAGGGAGAAGTGGGGTTGAAAGATCTCTTTAGAATAAGATACTTATAGGAGGATTTTTTTTTTTTTTGCAAGCTTTTTTTTCTACAGGGTGATGTTTTAACTTCCTCAAGACTGTGGTACCTTGAAGGATGAATGAGCCTAGAATATTTTATGGAATGTGTGATAATAAAGTGATTCATTTGGCAGTTGCAAAACAAGGCCACCACAGGGTCTATTAACGATTCATACATTTTAACAATTTCCAGAGGCAATTTCATAAATGACACAGGATAAATTCAGGTTATACTCGATTAGAACATTTTCCGCCTTGGGCTGAGTGAGCATTCCAAGAATGTATTTAATGAGGTGCTATACTAATCAGCCATTACCTGGGTATATGTTTCTATAAGTGCTGAAGCTAACTGCTGAATAAACGAGTTTTCTAAAATATTCCTTACCTCTACATAGACCATTTTATTTATTTTTAATTTTATTTATTTTTTCATGAGAGACACACAGAGAAAGACAGAGACACAGGCAGAGGGAGAAGCAGGTTCCCTGTAGGAAGCCTGATGCGGGATTCCATCCCAGGACCCCGGGATCATGACCTGAGCCAAAGGCAGATGCTCAACCCCTGAGCCACGCAGGTGCCCCAAACACAGATCATTTTAAAAAGAATAACATATTTTCAGTTGTTAACCTCAATCAACAAATATTTATTGATGAAATGAAGTGCCTGGGTGATTGGCAAAAGGACAAGTGAGAACACAATTCTCAGTAGAATCTTGACAGGTGAAAATTAGATATCAATAGTAAGAGTATCAAATACGTGTGCAAAATACTTTATAAATCTTGTCATGTATATTTACTTTATTTGATCCTCACAACAATCCTTGGAGGTGTTGTTACACCCTATTTTACAAGTGGGAAAATTGCTTTAAAGATTTTCAACGATTTATCTAAGGACATTGGCAAGTCATTTTTTCCGCGACACACTTCACTTCCTAATTGTCCAGCGGTATGTCAGGTGGACAGCTTAGCACTACAGGGCAGGGTGGTGTGACTGGAAGGATCGCTCAAGAACTGAGTTCAGTTACTTGCTCCAGGAACAGAAGAGGGGTGCAGATAGGTTCAAACAGAATACATTTTTTACCATCGCTCCACTAGGTGGCAGTGAAGGCCGCCCCACTAGTGTGTGTCACTATAGAACCTGGCTTTAAGTGGCCAAAGCCAGAAAGACAAAAGAAGCAAAACAGAGCTATTCTTTTAGACTTAGAAAATACTGCATATGTATGTGTATGCGTGCACGCGTGCATGTGTGTGTGCCGTGCACATGTGTTTGGAAGGCAGAACAACTGAAAAATCAATAGAAACTGTTACTGCACTCTATGCATGGATAGGGCCAGAGTGAAGGAAAGACCTTGGTATTTGACACCTCAGTACTATACCGTGTTCTCTTAGCCCATAACTACAATCTTACTCTTGCATCCTGGATGCTCACTTAGGTATTACTTGGTGTCCAAGAGTATCATTGCCATTCAGTATAAAAGTGAACATTCTCTCAAGAAGAAGAATTGATGATTTTGGTGCATTAATGTCTGTGGCTGTGCCTATACTCTTCGTTTTTCTCTACAAGTGTATTACTATTTATTCTTATATTATAGCTGGCAGAAAGAAAAACCACTTGCAGTATTCTATGGGTAAAGAAACTCAATAGCTAGAGGAGTTCAAGATACTTTTGATGCTTTCTGGGTTTAGTAGTAATAAGCATTGCTAAGAATAATTGCAAATTTTGGTCACTGGATAAAGAATTAGAGATCCCAATTAGAGCAATTCATAATTGGGAAGGAAGAATTGGAACTCATCCTTTCCACTGACTACTGTTTGGTTGTCATCCTAAACCTTCCAAAAATTAGAAAGAAAAAAAAAAAGTTTTGTCTGTCTACCTGTAGCAACTCTGGGGAAACCCCCACCCCATTTATAAAACCAGAGTTCCCATCAGTTCGAAGAGCCTCCTGCTCTAGGAGACTCATCCACTGGCGGTGGCTGCTTCTCTTCTGGCACTGAGGGTAGATCAGGAGCTTTCTGTCCACACCTTGCAACAGTGAAGCGACTCATGTGAAGAGCTTCTTCATACCCTGGGAGGGTGTCCAAAGAGGAGGGCAACTGGCCCAGGGGGCTGTGAGAGTGAGCCACAGCCAGGATTCTTCGAGCTGCAGGGCCAAAGATTGACTGCAGGGCTGGTGGGGAAAGAAAGAAAAGAGCCAAAGTAAACGTGACATCCTCAGAAATGAGGGGCTTACAACACACTTCCCTTCCCTTCATTTTTAGCAAGTGTCTCGATCATTGTCATTCTTGGCCACAAATGTTATGAAAATCCTGTGAAGATTGTTTAGAAACCAGCTTCACTCTGCTGGAAGATCCTGTATTCTCTGGGGTCCTCAGCTAATCTAATTGTGTCCCCATGTCTCACAACCCTGTCCTTCCCTTTTATGGACTTAGGACCCTTTATGCCAACCTGCTGATAATGCAGACTCCTTAGAAATATTTATTGCTGTCTTATTTATCTTCCCTCAAAGGACAGTAAGTGAAGCACGAAAAGTGAACAGCAATGTCTTCTCTCTCTTTTATAAATATTTTATTTATTTACTCATGAGAGATACAAAGGGAGAGGCAGAGACAAAAGCAGAGCGAGAAGCAGAGAGGCAGCCTGATGCAGGACTTGATCCCAGGACCGCAGGATCACAATCTGAGGCAAAGGCAGATGCTCAACACTGAGCCACCTAGGCACCCCAATGTCTTCTCTTTTCAAAAGAAACATCACAATATTGTGCCACCTACTGTTTCAAAAATAGTTTTTCTCTCATTTCAGGAAAGAATATAATATAAAGAAGAGAAGAGAACACATAAAAGAAAGTGTTTTCTAATCACCGAAGGGGTGTTAGGCTAACATTTAACTGTATCAATAGGTACAAATAGAACAAAGAATTGAAAGTACACATGACTAATTTCTCCAAAGATATAAAATAATGTATAGGTAACAAAAAATAGAGGTTCTTACAAAATCCAAGACATGTTTCAAAAGAGATATACTCAGAGCTTAAAATAGTTTTATCAAAATAACTTCAGAAACTGGGTAATCCTTCCTATAAAATATTTCCAATATTTTCTCCAATATTCTACTTCTTTCTTCACCCTATCATTAGTCAAGTCAATCTTTGAGAATACAGTAACTGTGAGAGCCCAGGTCACGACACCATCAGGCTTCTGGAAATTAAAACCCTGAGTTCTAGAATCTTTGATACTTTTCAATCCATGTTTCTACTTTATTTCATCATCCTAATGATTCTTTTATTGTCTTATTTTTTTTAAAGATTTTATTTTAAAGAAAAGATTTTATTTACTTATTCACGAGAGACGCAAAGAGAGAGGCAGAGACACAGGCAGAAGGAGAAGTAGGCTGCCTGCGGAGAGCCTCTTGTGGGACTGGATACCAGGACCCTGGGATCACCCTTGAGCCAAAGGCAGATGCTCAACCTCTGAGCCACCCAGGTGCCCCCTGATCATCTTTAACCCCGTCTCAGGTTATAATGTCAGAGTACTCACAACTGATAGTGCTCTGGAGAGTGCTGTCATGATCAAAAGCAATGACAGTCACTTCATAGGGAGGCCGGCCTTGATCTTCCCCATTTTGCTGGCGACTCAGACAGCAGCGGAAGCAGACAGAAGTCAGGCCACACAGGAGCAGCAGTGCACCAATTACCACCAGCAACCTGCAAGACCACCCACCAGTAAGAGCTCTGTGCTTTGGTTTGTTTCTCAACCCTGGCAATAAGTGGTCTTCAGTGTCTGCCTTTTGACTTTGTGTGAATATTTTATAGAATGTTCGTAAGATTTTAATTTAAACATTTTCACTTCACATTTTTTAAAAGATTTATTTATTTGTTCATGAGAGACACAGATTGAGAGAGCGGCAGAGACATAGGCAGAGGGAGAAGCAGGCTCCTAGCAGGGAGCCTGATGCGGGACTTGATCCTCGGGCCTCTGGGGTCACGACCTGAGACAAATGTAGGCACTCAACGGCTGAGCCACCCAGGTGTCCCTCACTTCACATTTATACTTATTTTGTCAGCAAAACTAAATCAGTTCATCAATTCAGTTCATCAGAGCTAAAGTGGTTTGGAGAGTGTGCTTTCTACTTTATATTCTCCTCTCTGTACAAAGTTCTCGAACTGACCCTGAAAAAATACAAAATAATTGAGGAGATGGTATGGAAGTAGGAAACCCTTGCATATTGTCACATAGTTATTGATGATGAGGTAAATAAACTTTACGCCAGGAGATGCTGAGGTAAGTAGGATGGCGGTCTCATACATTTTTTTTTCCTGCTGTCAAAATAGTTAAAAACTAAAATAATATAAATAAATGCCCCTGAGAAATATAAATTTCCTTTGAAATATCTTTCTGGGTATGATAGCTTTGAAATATCTTTCTGGGTATGATAGCTGGAACTTACCATATATACCAGAGATGTACCCAATCTGTGGTCAGGCAACTATGGAGAAAGAATAAAGGTTTTTTGCAATGAAAATACAGCCAGTGCCTGTTGTAGTTGCAGAATCAGGAATATGAGTTACAATATAATTTGCTACCTTGTTATAATAAAAGCATCACAACTTATATATTTTTTATGTTTGCATTTTGATTCCAGTTCATTAGCATACAACAAGTTATACTGACTTCAATATAACCAGCAGCATCTATTGTGAAATGAGATGCCTTAAAGTGTTTTATACTACAGGTGGCGCTGTGTAAATAATTTGTGAATCACACGACAGACCACAATAGTGTTTATGAAAAGAGTGTTAATTGTGAAGGCGAATGGAAGGGAAGGGAGAAAAAATTTGTGGGAAATATCAGAAAAGGAGACAGAACATGAAGACTCCTAACTCTGGGAAACGAACTAGGGGTGGTGGAAGGGGAGGAGGGCGGGGGCTGGGGGTGAATGGGTGACGGACACTGAGGGGGGCACTTGGGATGAGCGCTGGGTGTTATTCTGTATGTTGGCAAATTGAACACCAATGAAAAATCAATTTGTTATGAAAAAAAAAAGAGTGTTAATAAAGTAACAAAAAAAAAAAAAAAAGAAATGTAACCACGACCACTGTAAACAGTTATAACAATTACCAAGAAAGAATGTAAATAAATGTATGGAATTTTATATATTAGGTTGTTACATATTTGAAGTCAATAAATTTAAACATAAAGAAAATTTCAGTTATAATCATGAAAGCAATACAATGAAGTCTGTAATTTATGTTTTGCAACTTGTTGCAAAAAGGGCCACCATTAAGCCATAAAAATTCTCACCATAAAAAAATACCCTAAACTTTCACTTCCAAAATCAAAACTGATATGCAACTGAAGCCAAACAAGGAGGAAAAATGTAGAGATCAACTTCACCATGTTGAAAGTTAATTTAATTAACTGGATTAACTATGGCAATTATAAATTTTCAAAAATATAGGTTGCATGGAAGAAGAAGTGTGGTGTAAGCTCAGAAGCCGGGAGGGGAGAGGAAGAAAATATTTATTTTTGAAGATGAGCAAATGTAATCGTACTTTCTGATATATCGAGCTATTGAAACCCATTTAAATTCACTTCTACATTCTCTTTGGTTGCATAGTTGTAGAACATACGGTTTGCTTTTTCAATAGACCAATGTCTCCTGTAGGTTTTCTCACATTCCCCACTTATTTAAAATCTCTTTAAGTTCCACAATGTTATGATTTGGATTCTGTTAAAAGAGACTCTTCCCTGAGTGGTGGGTGTCTAAAACCTCAAACACTGTGACAAGCAACGGAGGCCACCACCATTTCCCGTGGGTTTAACAGACTTGGCTATTGAGAAACCCTTCCCCATGGCTAAATATGTGTTTTCCTTCAGGCTGAGCAAGTGTTTTGTTCCAATTGGCCCTGTGTTTCAATAATTTACCTCCAAGTGGAATGAATCTCTTCTCCTTTTATGTCTTTGGTGTCTGTGTAAGACCTAATTGTGATAGGTTTAAATTAAGTGGTAACAACCTCAAAGTGATAGCTGAATGAAGTCTGCAATAAATATTGCCATGCCCTAAAATATGGGATATGCTTGTCATATTTCAGGTGCTGATGCTACTTTGGAATTATCCAAATATATCTGCTCCCGATGAGATTTTTAAATCCAGTCTGTCTGATGAGTCACTGAGAAGCATGGGAAAGAAAGCCTTTTGCAGATCTCTGTGACTATACAAATTGAGATCAATCCCACTGTTTTAATAAGAAGACTCACTTTGGAAAAAATGCTGTCAGTGATGTTATTTTAAGTACTTAGGATGACATGAGGGCATGTCTTTATTTTTGCATAACTCATCTGTGAAATTAGTAGGTTGATGCCCACTTAAATAAAAATAAAGGGAAGTCACAGATATCTAATCACCTCTTGACCCTGTGCACTAATTTTTTTGTGCGTTTTTCCTTCCTCCTAGTTTGGTCTCAGATACTTACTGTTCAGGATTCATGCAGTTCTCCTCACATCTTGCCTGAGGAAGCTGTAGGAAGGGAAATAGTCTCAGACAGGGAAATATCTCATCTGCTCTGCTCAGCAGCCTCAACCGCTCCTCATGACTCTGCTGTTAGATTACTTGGTGAGATCCGGGAAAATATGAGGACAAGGTCATAAGGTCAGCCATGTTTAGGACTGTTTGTTTTCATTGTTCCCATGCCTGTTGATTATTATATTTAAAGTAGGAGAAACTAAGAGAGCAAATATCTAATCTGTAGGAAGGATTTTGTTTGTTTTTTTAATTTTTTTTTTTTTGTGAATGAGAGACAGAGGTGGCATTTAAATCAATTTGTCCTAGAAATTTCCAGCTGTCCCTCAGGATATTGTTATTGCCTTCTTGATTCTTTCCCAGTTACAAATTGGATTCTACTCTCCGCTCCCCTTTTTTTTATTCCCTGAGCATATCCAATAATACACCCTATAAAAAAGAAGGAGGAAAAGGAGGAGAAAAATTTTATTTATTGAATAGCTACTATATGCTAGTCAGGCTGCTAAGAATTTTCAATATGTCATAACATTTCATCACACTAATTATGTAGGCAGGTATATTTAACCTTATTTTGAAAGGTTAAGTGACAGAGGCAAAGGGGTTTAGGTTAACATGATTAACTGTATGCTCCTATCCATTTAGCCAGAATTCAGATCAAACTCTAATAAATATATGTTCAATGAAATAATAGAAAAAGGGCTAAATCTGTCTGAACAACTCCTTGATATTGCTATCAAATCTCTTCTGCTACTAATATTAAAAACCTTTACTCCTTCTTTTCTTTTTATTTCAGTTGATGTTCTCCCTCAAATGGAGAAACTTCTGTTTAGAAACTGCATCTCTCTTTCAGTAACTTGAATGACTTAATATTCTCTGGAAATCAACAACATCCACAAAGGTCTCCCACCTGGGACAGGGATTTATACTCATTGAGAGTTTATGGGAAGAAGAAAAAACACACAAACTCATGACACATCAGGTGAAAAGAATTTGTAAAAGCACTAGAGCTGTCCTCTGTAGACAACATTTGAGAAACTTTTTTTTTTTTAATTTAAAATGGTAGGTCACTAAAGATGACAAAATGTGTTATTTCCTCAATCCAGCCCTGGTTCTTTGTTTCTCTTTTCTGACTGAAAGGTAAGAAAAGCTTAAAGTGCTAAATAGATAATAGATAAAATACTTCTTTTAGGGACTATTGCCAAAAAGAAAAGCAAAGTAAGGAAAAACAAGGAAAGGGAAAGGCAAGGAAAAGAAGAGGAAGCAAAAGGAAAATACAAGAAGAAGAAATGAATTTACAGACATTAATTTAATAGGATATAGAATGGGATATAGAATGCAAAACAGGCAGTCCATTTGCTGCTGGAAGATGTACAGGAGTCTGATACTAGCCAGTTGATTCATTTGCTTTCTTTCTCTCTCTTTTTTTTTCTTTTAAAGTACGCTCCACACCCAGTGTGGAGCCCCGTGTGGGGCTCGTACTCACAACCCTGAGATCAAGACCTAAGCTGAAATAAAGAGTTGGACTCTTAACCAACAGAGCCACCCAGACACCATTGCTTTTTCTCTCTACTAGAGTTCGTAACTATATAAACTTCTGCTTGACAGTTGTCCAGAATCATCAGTCTAACGACCCTTTTTTCAGCTCATTAGCTGAGTTACTCAGGGGCTTCTGATTTTTGGTGGAAAGAAACAAGAGGTCTGAGGTATTTTTAGAGTTTTCCCTCTTTTAGTTTATTTCTGATCTGGAGGGCACCTAAACTACTAGAATTGTATTGGGGCTGATCTGGAAACTCCATTTAGGGGAATTATGTAATTTGTTTTGATTATTTATTTGGGATTTTGAGGGATGGGTGATAAGATGCTAAAAGAGGAATACAGGTAAGCGGCACTTCTAAATTAACATAGCTATTCTGCATTTATCTATGATTACCCCAATTTCTGTCCCCCCATTTCACTGATGCCACCAGCCACACATGGATTGTGTAACCCCTTAACATTAAGGAAACATTCTTGTTATTCTTTCCCCACTACCTCTTTGATTCAATATATGTCTTTCTCCTCATTCATTCCCCCCATGGTTCTTCTGAGAGTTCATTTATCTGTGAAATGAACAAACAAAAGTTTTGTTTCTGAATTTTCCCAACTCACCTGAATACAATACACCAGAGCAGAGGTGGTCACGGCCTGGCCTCGCATCCCCATGGGGCTGAACTGCTTCTCCAGGATCAGGTACACAGTGTTGTTTGCCTCCTTTCCATGCTCTGTGCTAGGTTTGGCTCCTTGACCTAGAGGGATTTAAGGAGACAAACTTTTCTCAGCAATAAATCTTTTGCTCTCCCTCTCCCCCTCCTCTTACTCCTTTGGGCATTTATTTTCTGTAGTTTTTCTCTCCCTTTTCATCCTGGCTTCTTTCTCGATTTCTATTCTGTTTTTATGGTCTCCACATTCGCTTCCTCTGCCTTCTTTCCTTCCTTTCTCCTAGCAATCCTTTCTATAAGTCTTTAACTTTCTCCCACTGCCCCCAAACATTCAGGGAGGACACATCAGTCCTCAGAATTAGCTATTTTTCTAGGCAGTGGTGAGAAACTTGATTTGAGGAGATTCAAAGGCATATTGTGAGTGACGGAACAACTTCTCTTGTCTCCATCAAAAAGGAATAATACTCATGGTCCTTCACGGCAGCACTTCAGGGGGACCGTTGAATAACTACCAATCTCCATTCACTTCCCTCTCCATGTGATTAGCCCTCCTCTCTTGCTTTTTGAAACCCTCCCTTTCACTGTGTTGATAATCAACTCTCCTGGTTCTGGGTCATTTACTCATAACCATTGCTGTAGGACTAAAAGGTTGATAAATGGACTGGAAAGTTCTCTCATCTTTGAGGAAAGTAGGTCCCCTCCACCCTGACTTCAGTTCTCATTGAAACAGATAAGTCAGACACACATATTTTTTTTTTAACTGGGCTCCAAAAAATAAAAAATAAACTGGGTTCCAAGATCTACAGGTCTCTAGGTTTCCCTCTCTCTTTTTCTCTCTTTTTTTTTAAAGATTTTATTTATTTATTCATGAGAGACAGAGACATTGGCAGAGGGAGAAGCAAGCTCCCTGCTGGGAGCCCAACACAGGACTCAATCCCAGGACCCCAGGATCACAACCTGGTTGAGATGCTCAACCACTGAGCCACCCAGATGCCCCTTGCCCCCCGGTAAGTAAAATCTAAGGTCAGAGTAAAAATAAGCACACATGGAAAGAGAATATTTATAAAGGAATGTCTCTACAGGAACAAATGAATGCTATATAAATGATTTATACTTAAGTCAGTAATTTTTTACTTAATACAAAGTATTTCCAAAAAATTTTAAAATACAAAGTATGTCATAGGAAAATTAGACATCAGTTTATGCAGCAATATCTATCTCATAAGAATTGAATGAAAAAAAAAGAATTGAATGAAACCATTTTTCAGATCATATCTAATCCTAAAAGTCTAATTTTACTGAGTGATTGTTGAGGGCAACTGTTGGGTGGGATTGATTCAGAGTCCTCACACAACATTAAAATGTGATATCAGCATGGAGAATACAACTTTTCTTTTTTTCTCTTGGCTAAGGAAATCAAATAGTGATAGAAAAGCCTGGTATGATACTGGCGATTGGGCATCTTTAAGTTCCCAAACTAAATGAGCACTACATTATTTTTTAATATGAAAAAGATATAGGCAGGATGAAGAGTATTTCACAAATTTCAGCAGAAAACTGGTGGAAGGTATTTCATAGAACAAGGAAATTTGACTAGGATCATGTTGATCATCTTGATTTCCATTCAGTTTTGCCAATGGCCTTCACCTTCAATATGCTGAATAACCAATGTCTTCTCAGTTATCAGAATAACTGATGGTGTATTATTACCATGACCATGTTTTAGCTTTCCTGGTATTCCAATTCTTGAGTATTTCCCCTTGCTATTCTGGCCATCTCTTCTCCCGATCATACCAGCCAAACCTGCATGAACAGGTTTGCCAGTTAACATGATTTTTACCCCATTGCCCTTTCCTGCATGTGATTGCCATCATTGTTTTGCCCTCCAGCTTCCCAACAGGTTTGAGCAAAATGAGATTCTGTTAATGACCTCCTTGCTACTTTTCTTACTTAAAATTACTTTGGCCATTTTTTTCCCCTCACTGGATTATTCTTTGAAGAAGTAGAACTTCTTGTTTATCCTAATGGAAATAATTATGCATTTTGGCAATTTTAATGCTGAGTTCAGCCCCTATCGAAGCCTTTATGTCAGGAATGATGACAGAGGAAAGAAGATCCATGTGGGATGACTGAAGAGGGTAACTACTGGAAGGGCAGGTAGCTGAGGTAGAGGGGAATGACCTCATTGCAATCCTACACAATCTTGTTGTACTTCCATTAAGTTTGTGAATTATTAGCTTATACCCAGGTTGTTAAGGACTTGGAGTGGAACCAATGGAGTGTACATGTACATAGGCCTTTCACCTATGCCTCACGAAATTGTAATACAAAAGCTGTAACAAGTGAAGCTAAAAAATTACCTATTTCTGGCCCCTTTGATTATTCTCCTTTTGACCTTGCCTACATCAGGTGGCCAAGCATGAATTCCTTTCCTTTCTCTACCTCAGTGAAATAGAGGTCAGGACTACCCTTACTGTGATTCATCAAGCATGAGTTATAAAGTTGAGCAATGAGTTGGGCCATACTCATGGCTTCAAAAATAGATAATAAAGCAGAAGAGATCAGTTCCATCTTGCAACTACTCCACTAGAAACTGCCTCTATCTTATGAATCAAGATTGCAGTAGGTATTGAATGACAACTTCAGAGGTATTGACAGTCAGGATTAGATTTGAGGAAATTAAACAAAACATAAGGATTAAGTTTATCATGGAATTATTAGTTTTATATGACAGCTGACACATTACTACAAATTATATGAGTGACAATGTAAAACAACATATATATTTTTTTCTATCTCATGGGGATTGGAAGTGTAAACACAGTTTAATTGGGTCCTTTGTTTATCATCTCATGGGCTGCAGTCAAGATGTCTACTGGATTTTGTTCTCATCAGAAGGCTCAACTGGAGAAGGATGTACTTCCAAGCTGTCTCAGGCAGGAATTAATTTCTCTGTGGCTATAAGATTCATGTAAGCTTGCTTCTTTAAATCTGACCAGAAAGGGAGAAAGGAGGGAAAGAAACTTCAGCAATATAGGCAGTAAACCTTATGTAATCACATATACATGGTCATATACATTCCATTACCTTTGCCACATTCCAAACCACAGATAAAACCTAAACTCAAGTGAAGAAGATTATACAAGGGCATGAATATCAGGAGGCAGGGATAATGAGAACCACTTAGTCTGTGAAGTTTGCCCAGCCATCTGCTACATCAGGATTGTAGAAATTATCCTATGGATCTTTCAACACAGAAGAAACACAAATATCCATCGAAGGGTGAATAGATAAACAAAATGTGGTATATTTTTTAACCTTAAAAATAAAGATAATGCTACAGTATGGATAAACCTTGAAGACAGTATGCTAAGTGAAATTATCTAGACATAAAAGGACAAGTATTGTATGTTTCACTTATATGAGGTACCTAGAGTAGTCAAATTCATAGAAATAGAAAATAGAATGATAGTTTCCAGTAAATGGGAGAAGGAAGGAATGGAGAGCTATATTAGTCATGGTTGCCGAAAAAAATAGAACCAATAGGATGTGCATATTTATAGAGAAAGATTTTTTATAAGGAACTAACTTATGCAATTATAGAGACTGGCAAGTCCAAATCTTTAATGTGTACCAGTAAACTTGAGACCCAAGAGAAACAATGATGAAGTTCCGGCCCACAGACTCTCTGCTGGAGAATATTTTCTTATTTGGAGGAAGATTACTGTTTTGGTTCTATTCAGGCCTTCAACTGATTAAATGAGACCCACTCTCATTATGGAGGGAAATCATCACTTCACTGATTCAAATGTTAATCTCGTCCAAAAACATACTCAGAGACTCAGAAAAATATTCGATCAAATATCTGGGCACCTCATGGCCCAGACAAGCTGACACATAAAACTAACCATCTTAGGAGTTATTGTTTAATGAGTACGAAGTTTTAGTTGGAGAAGAAGAATAGTGAGCTGAGTTCTTTATCTGGCATCAGATAGAGAAGAGATGTTTAGTAAATCATTTATATTTTTTGAGCTTTAGCTTCACCCTCTCAAAATTAAAAAAAAACAATTAAATTTCTTTGTATCTTTAAAACACAGCTTATTCTGATGATGTCTTAATAGTTAAGAATCTCAAGTGTTAACTGCTCACTGTTTACAGAATATTACAGAATATTGCAATGTATATGGTAAGCCAGGGTGATAGGAAAGAATTAGTCTATCCTTACTTTTAAAGAGCTTGTGGGGATCCCTGGGTGGCTTAGCGGTTTGGCGCCTTGCCTTTGGCCTGGGACACTATCCTGGAGTCCCGAAATCGAGTCCTGCATCGGGCTCCCTATGGGGAGCCTGCTTATCCCTCTGCCTGTGTCTCTGCCTCTCTCTCTCTCTCTTTCTCTCTCTCTCTCTCTCTCTCTCTCTCTCTGTGTGTGTGTCTATCATAAAAAAAAATCCCAAAGAGCTTGTAATTTGTTTGGAGAGATGAAATAACTTTAATGGAATTTAAAATCAATAGAGTGCACTATTTGAATATATAAAATGGGGGGGTACTGATAATGGCAATCCTACCTGTAGAAGTTAAGTACAGAGGATTTTTTAAAGAACAAAAAATAAATTATATTTGAAGGGAGTACAGGATTTGTAGAGTTCAGCACCAGGTCCTAGACTGCTTATGAATGTGGACCCAAAAGCACAATGGATAATTATGCTCTCCTGGGTTTCATGGGTGGGGTATGAAAGTGAATATTTGAAGTCTGAGCGATCTAGCTCACTCTTAGGCCTTCTCTAAAGAATGTAGTTCTTTCTTGTGCTGTGTATGTGTCTTTGGGTGTTTTAGGTATAGTCATATATTTTCTTCCAAGACACTTCTTCCTAGGACAATCCATAAAAGGTTACTAGGAAGTGATGTGCTCACAAGAAAAATGTGTCAGGTCAACAAGTATACTTCTGTAACACATCTTAATCCACTAGAAAATTGATGACATACAAAATAATTGAGTCACTATGGGGAATGATAAAGTGTCCTCTTCATTGTGACATAATTTCAGTATTTATTAATTCATTATTAAAACCCATTTCCTGAGATTCTATTTATGTGGAACTCAACATGCTGAATGCAGGAAGCAATCTTGCTTCCTGGCACTCACAGTCAAGGGAGATGGGGTGGGGCTTGAGTGATAAAGGTAAGTAGCAATATTACAAGTTGATTTGATTAGGAAGATTATATATATATATATATATATATATATAATGAGTATTATATATATAAGGTATATATATATGTATATATCTTAAAGATTTTATTTATTTTTTTATGAGAGACACAGAGAGAGGCAGAACCAAAGGCAGAGGGAGGAGAAGCAGGCTCCATGCAAAGAGCCCAATGCAGGACTCGACCCTGGGACTCCAGGATCATGCCCTGACCCAAAGACAGATGCTCAACCACTGAGCCACACAGGTGTCCCTGACTAGGATATATTTGCTACAGACTTAGTTTTTTTGTGTGAACTGTATCATGCAGTAAAACATTATTTTATTTTTAATATTAATTAATTAATTAATTTATTGAGAGAGAGTGAGTGAGCGGGGAAGGGCAGGGGGAGAAGAAAAGAGAAAATCTTTAAGCAGGTTCCACACACTCTGTGCAGAGCCCAACAGAGTGCTCCATCTCACGACCCTGAGATTATGCCCCTAAGATCATAACCTGAACCAAAATCAAGAGTCCCACGCTTAACCAGCTGAGCTACCCAGGTGCCCCATAGAGTAAAACTTTAAATGACAGAGGAACGATTTTCAATTTGGTCTCAGACACTCTGCAAAGAAAAAGGTAATACAAATAATCCAGGAAGAAGGAGGGAAATGAAATCCTAATTAGGTTGTCAATATCAGTGATCTTCCTTAATAGTTTCCTAGAAATTTTATTTATATATTTTTCTTCAATGTTCTTTTATGTATCCCCTCTTTTATTTATTTATTTTTCCTGGTGTATTTGAAGGCAAATTTCAGATATCATATCACTTCCCCATAATACTTCAGATAATATCTGTATCTGAAGTATTCAGATACTTCAGAAAATATCTCTAATAGATAAGAATTTTTTAAAAGAGCATATATAACTGCAATGAGATATTTCTTCTCTGGTTAGGAGGCTGTGTGTGTGGGGGGGTGGGAATAGGTGAGAAATCTATCAATGAATTCATATAGGCATCCTTATGAGGAGCTCCCCAAAGACTCTTTGAGACTCCAGTCAATTATGTGTAAAATGTATCCTTTGATGGGTAATACAATTGTGCTGAATATTACTACTACTAATATTAATAACCATCATTTATTTAGTTCTTATGTTTGAAGTAGAACACTAAGCATTTTCACTCAATAGTTCAAATGAATCCCTATAGCAATGTTATCAACAGTATCCAGTGGACATTCCAATGTCCCAATTTATAGACAAAGAAGTAGGTGCAGCATATTAAGTATTCCCCAAGATTATAGACTAAGTGTACTAGCAAAAGAAAGATTTGAAACTAGCTCCACCTGGCTCCAAATTTCTCTTTCCTGCTATGTTATACTGACACTGTGTGAAAAAGTACTAATTAAGTTCTAAAATTACCCATGTCACAATGGCTGGAGATGAGTCATATAAGACTAACTCCAAAATTTCTAATCTATTGTCAATTTAAACAGTCAAAATTAAAAGGAAAATATGAGATTTATGAAAGCCACAGTATAGAGACAGTCTGCTACAGTGAATGAAATAAAGAAATATGGACACTGGAATTAAGTAATATGGTTTAAAAATGCGTAGTCTTGTATAAATTTAGTGTGACTTACTCTTTTGAGTTTGTTTCCTCATCCGAAGAGAGGCTACAAAGCCTCTCCTCTAATGCTCACAGAAAATAGTTTTCCCTTTCATAAAGTATCTAGTGAAACATTCTGAAATACTAGCAGAATCACCACTTTCCCCACCTACGATAGACATAACCCAAGAATTTGCGTCAGACAACTTCCCAGTATGAAGCAAAGCCTCTTCTTCCTCCTACTGATTGAGTCATTCTTCTATTAGATAAGTGTAGCTATTTAAACACTCCAGTAGGAGCTCACAGAATTTTACTTTTGAGAAGTGCTTGACTGCTTCACTTTCTCATTCTTGGAATGAATTTGGAAATGACTTTTGATGACTTCAAGAGCAAGACTATGAAGGATAAACCTGATCAGAAGCCAAATGGAAAGAAAGCTAAAGGTACTAGGAGGGGGTGAATGTGCACAGGGACAGATTTCTAGGATTAGCTTAAAAATGCAAATTAACTGAATATAGGATTAGAAAGCTGAAACACCAGGGGATGGAAAAATATTGTAGAATTAATAACATTTACTTTTAAAAAAACCAATTCAGATATAATGGTGATGTGATGATGATGATGCCCTGATCGAACTAACTTGGTATGAATGATGACATAGTAGATTCTGATAACTTTTATTGAACATTTATCATAGGCTACATTCTATGCTATTCACTTTATATGCATTATTTCTCTGAATCTTTACACCTTGAGATTAGGACTATTATAATCTCCCTTTCATAGAGACTAATTGGGGGAATCAGGAGAATTAACAAAACCATTAATTTCTATGCAGCTAGTGAGTAGTAGAGCTAGAATTGTATCACAACCTCCCATTTATTAAAAACCCAATCCACCAGAAGGTTAAAGAAATGTTGAATTCACCCAGTATATACGATGCTAATTTTTATAATAGTGTTCTCAGCCATCGCAAAAACTGGATATATTTTGTGAATTATCCCAAGCAGACTAAATGCTGTTCATTTAATAGCATTTTAAAATCTATTATGTTTGTTTGATATATGCAGTAAGTTAAACTAATTAAATATAAATTAATTCATAATCCCAATTCTGCAGATAGTCTAAATACATTGTCCTTTATCTTATATTCATTCTGAGAGAAAGGAACAAAATATAAATAGCGAAAGTCACACAAGTATTCTCAGGAATGTGAATAAAGAAATTACAGGTCAGGGGTGCTCGGCCTGTTCAGTCAGAGGAGTATGTGACTCTTGCGCTTCAGGATCACGAGTTCAAGCCCATCATGGGGTGTAGAGATTCCTTAAGTAAATAAGACTTAAAAGAAAAAAATCCCAGGTCATATTTCCATAAACAAGATAGAATTTATCTTGGTAGGGAAAATAAGTGTGAACATGGAATAATTTAACATTTGAGCTGTTAAACTGAACTTGGTATGAAACAGTACTGCCATCTATAGATCGACATCCAAATTCATAGTAGATTTTGTTCATTCATCCATTCATTCATTCATGCCTTATTCATGTTGTAAATATTGAGTGCCTGAATTTTACTGCAATTATGAAGCTAAATCTCTCAGAATCTGATTAGATCAGTCTACTACTGCAAAGAATCCAACTGCTGTTTTAAAAATAATTATATATATATATTTTTAAATTTCTTATTTATTTGAGAGAGAGAGAGAAACCAAGACAGTGACAAAGATCAGTAGAGAGCAGGAATGGGGAAGAGAGGGAGAAGCAAGCTCCCCATTGAGTAGGGAGCCTGACAAAGGGCTTGATCCTGAGATCCTGACCTGAGCCAAAAGCAGACACTCAACCGACTGAGCCACCCAGCCACTCCAATTCAATTGCTTACTGATCAGAAAATCACTAATGGGAGCAGAGGTTGGATTAATGGTCTCTACCTACCAAAGAAATGGGACCAAAGGTGTCCTATAGAAAATGGGAGCATATGCCTCCCTTTCATAGGTGCAGATACTGTGTTTTTCTTCTAAAAATTCAGGAATTTCTTCACTCAAGAGCGGTAGATATACATTCATGGTCTAGAATGGAAGAAAATACTTGTTGACAGACTTACACAGGTATCTACCCCCGAGCTAGGATTAGGCAATTATTTGCAAAAGACACAACTATCTTCTACTTCTCTGTCAACTTGCCACATACACTCTAGGAGCTTAATAACTTTTGAATTTGTGAATGAGCTGTATTTCTTCCTGTTAAAATTTCTATTCTGTCAATCTTTAGAGTCTAACAGAAGTTCTTTTGACATAATGAGAACTCTGTGAATATATTTGACTGTTGATTGATTTGGATCATTACACATTCTCACTGGAAATTTTGTGATATAATGCTCCAAGCCATGCAGTTACTGACAGTTGGGTTAAAGACCTATGTTTGGATCTTAACATCTATGTGATCTTATACTATTCACTGAGACTTTGGGTTTCTTTATCTGCATATGGAGGATAATACTACCAGTGCCTTATTTGTTTATTGCACAGGGTGAGGAGTCCACATAGATTATAGAGATATTTTCCTATTGAACCAAAATATCTGTGCTTCTGTAGTGGGAAAGCTGTGAGCTACATGACTACATGTTTCTATAATAATGGTGAATTTTACTCCTGTAACAACAATGGCCACAGCTGGTATGAGTATAGGACATGACATTAATATGAGACCAATGAATATTGAAGTTTCATCCCTATTTTTCTTTGGTAATAATTTCAGTTCCAAGATATAATTTTAGCAGAATTAAAACTGAAAGCACAAAATTATAATTCTTTGAGGAAATCTGTTAATTAACTGATTAAAGCTTATTTGCTTGGTGGCCAACATTCTTTTATGGTATGATACTTATAAAACACACTGTGTGAGACTGTGTGTGTGTGTGTATACATGCACACACATAGGCTATATTAAAAGTATCAGGCTCTGTCCTCTGTGGATAAAGTTGGTCCAACCAAGCTGGACTGAGAGTTTCTTGGAGAGTCATTATGGGGAGAGTAGATAAAGTGTAAGCTTTAGAATCAGATACTTAACATCACATATCTGGGAGTGAATCCTGGCTCTTAAATTGTGTCAGTCGTATGGCCATGGGTAAATTATTTAACTTCTTTGTATTTTTCATCTATAAATATGGACAATGAATTATTTACAGAGCCCTTAGCAGGAGTAGAGGTAAGAAATGCAAAGTACAAGTTTCTAAAGAATTGTTTGATGACCTGCTTACATATTTTATGTCTTTCTGATTCCATTCTCTGTCACTCTAGGTCTTCATTTTCTTTCTTCTCGGTGGTGGTGCCCTGCTGCTGTGACACTAGGGATCCTTTGCTTGGGATTACTGGTGACTCTTATTTTACTGGCAATGCAATGTAAGTACTGGAACAGGGACATGATGAAGGAAAAAGTGAGAACTTACAAACATGGCTTATTAATTGGTTTAATAACAACTACCAACAACCTTGATTTAGATACATTTTAGGCAAACTTTTTGGAATGAGTGAGAGGATGAATAAGTATATTGTGTTTGTCCCTCAAGTTGACTGGGACATGGAATGAAATTTAGTAATGATGAGTTTTTGTTTTGTTTTGTTGTTATAACTTCATGGAAAAGTCTGTTGAAATCCTAGAATGATGAGAAAGAAAATAATTTGAAGCTACTAAGCCACAAGGTCCCCTGAGAAACCCAAAAGGAAAAGAAACATTATATAGTTCACATCGAGTTTTAATAGAGATGATTAAATAGCAATTTAAAGTTGAGAATCAAAAACAGCATCTTAATAAATAAAACATTTAAAGTAACTGTAATTCAAATTTATAATATAGCCATTTAGAAAAGAATGTTAAGAGAAAAAGAAGTGATAAGAAGGATGCAAGTGGCCAAGAAGGAATGAAAATAGTATTGATCATCCATCTAATCTGCCCATGTATTTAGGTTGTAGATTTGAGTTATATCTAGAATCTAGATGGTTAAGGCCTTTGAAGTGCTATTGTTTCTCAGTTATTGGTTAAGATCAACAACCACTTATTTTCTCAATCTGTTAACACTTAGGGTCTTCCCTAATAACTAGGAGAAGTACCCTAGACTCAATGACTGGATGAGTCTTCCTGTGAGAAGAATCACTTTACAACAGGCTCAGATCTGGCCTTCAAGCCGAGGGGACTGTTTTGTACTGAATCATCAAGCTTCTAGAACTGAGACATTTGACCTTTAACTTTAGTTGCCTGTTGGATTTCACAAACTTTATTTCATCTCCACCCTTCCTAAAATGTGCTGTGGGGAAAAACAAAACAAAACCAAAAAAAACAACCACCTAAGAAAAAAATGCTTGAAATTGTTGTGACATAGCAACTTAAAATAATTCTGTGGGAAGTGTCTCACAAAAGGGGTATCACAGTTTTTAAATAAAAATAGGAAGTCTGGAAGGATAGAGAGCAGAGGAATAAAGAGAAAAATAGAGTAAATCATTAAAGACAACTCCTATTAATAGTCACTGAGTCTGGCTGACATCAGTGATGCCATTGATATACTACTTATCTTATGATTACTTTTAAACTTGATGTCATTGAAATACTACTTATCTTATGGATGCCATTGATATACTACTTATCTTATGATTGCTCTTAAACTTGTCTGTAATTATCAATAACAAGTAAAATCCTGTTTTGTTTTATTTTTAATCAAAAGTGTGACAGTTTCTGACATTTAAAAAAATACTGCAGGAATATCAAATAACTTTCAAATGCATAATTTCTGAGTAAATTTGGGTCATGTTCCAGTAGTTTATCTGTTGTCAAAAGAGCTTACTTGATTTAATTCTTCAATTTCCTCAAAATCCAGTGGAGGGATTTTTGTTCGGGATTGGTAATGGAGTTCTTATTTCAGCTATGATTTAGTATCACAGGTGTCTAATCTCCTAAAGAAACAACAAGCAAACCTTACTCACCAGGAAATTATACTGGAGGGACAAATCTTAGCACAGCAGCAGGCAGAAAAAACTTCCCAGGAGTCAGAAAGGGAACTCAAAAAAACAATAGAAACCCTGACCCAGAAGCTTGATGAAAAATCAAAAAAACAGATGGAACTTCATCACCAGAACCTGAATCTCCAAGATGCTCTGAGGAAAGCAGCAAACTTTTCAGGTATGGGGGATGGAAAGTGAAAAGAAGTAGTGGAAACTTCTCTGTTAATCTTACTTCTATTTTGAAAATGACTCTAGGCATGAAATTGGCATATTGACATATATTCATAATGTTCAACACCAGATTTTTTCTATTTTTGTCACCCTCACCTTTATTTCTGCTAAATTCTTGAGATGGCTGATTTAATTAAGCACACTTTTTGGTGGATTTAAATTTTCTTTGCTTACAAGAACTTCTTTATTTTTAAAATTCTAGCTTTGAGATTTTTCTGCAAGAGTTTTTCTACCCTTGCCCTTTGCCATGGATTCTTTCTTCTTTCCATTCCAATGTATCTTAATCATTGGTTTCTTTTCCTACAGGGTCTCCTTTGTCCCTGGGAAGCTCTATATTAACATTATTTTATAACACTATTTCTTAAAGTGTGCAACATGGATTTTAAATTGAATCAATAGATGTAGGCTGACTTGGAAGTGTTGGGTAGATACTTGAGATAAGAAAGGAATATGAAGGGCCCAGGAATTCAGTTTATATAAGAAGAATTGAGTTGATCTCAGAATCTAGGAGGCAGGTAGAAATAGTAGCATCTATAAGAAGGGGATGGTTGATGTGCACTCTCATGTTATTACATAGTTATCTGTGTCATTTAGTCTTTGTACAACATGTAATCAAATTAAGCATATGCTTTTTATCATGGGATTTAAGGGATGTGAAATGGAATTATTCTCAGAGATGCATTGCTTTGTTGGAGGTGTATGAATGAGCGCCCTATTCTCAGCATTAGTAACTAACTGCCACTAATAAACAGAGATTTCTCCGGCTTATTGCTTGAACATCTCATTTAATCTCAACCTTGTAATTTATTTGAATAAGGGTTATATAATAACAGTTCACAAATACCCACAGTTCTTTATTTTATAGATGAAAAAAGTTAATAGCCAGAGTGGTTAAATGATGATAATAATGATAGGTAGTTTTTTTTTTTATGAAGTTTTGGGAGTTAACAAATTCCTTCAATACTTACAAGGTTATTTAAATTTCCAAAAGAAGCAGAGATTTTTAGATAAACTGATTTTTAGCAAGGGTGAAACCTGTATTTAATGTCTTTATTAAGGATGGAGCAATAGAGGAGATAAAGGAATACACCATCTCCAAAAAAATGTTAAGGAAGGAATTTATCTATTAAGGAGAGGCATGTTTACATAAGCAGACATAGCTACATATCAACCAATGATTTATTCCCCAGATGGGGTGGTAAAACAGGTTTTTTTTATTCAGTTGTATGAGATTAAATCTATGTCAGGACCATCTCCCACAGATTCCAGGCATGGGCAACCAATCAAAAATATTAAGTAATATGTTTTTCACTGGCAATTATCCCGGTAACATGTTCCATTCCTTGACAATGTCAGATAAAGACCAATCAGTAGAGATAGCAAGTAAAGTACTGCTTTTCATCAAGCAGCTTTGAGAAGATTCTCAAACACATTAATAATAAAATACCACATGGAATAAAATAAACCAGTTTTCTCAAGTTTGAGGCAAGTTTTATCTTTCTTACTAACAAGTCTGTGGTCCATAGTGTATATATGAAGAGAGAGAGAGACTCTGAGAAGTTACAGAACATAGTTTGTAGGAGATAGTCAAGCTAGAAAGGTGCAGAGTCTTCACACTCAGGAACTTAACATTTAGCACTGAAATTCATGCTGGTTGTCAACCTTTGAAGTACAACATTATCATTCAAGTAGCTTTTTTAAAAAAAAAATGGCAGTATCCAGGTTTGCCAGGAGATTCTGTATCAAAATGTCTTGAAGGCCACCAAAAAAATATTTCTCCAGTTGATTCAAACTCGGAAGTTTGAGAGTTAATGCCATGTTGTGATTAAACACATGGATGCAAGAGCAAGGCTGCCAAGGTTCTTTCTCATTCCCATTTCCTCTATTTGCCAAATGAAGAAAATGAATGAAACTTATTTCATTGTCTTGTTACGAAGATTAAATGAGTTCATGTGTGTAAAGTATTGCCAACAGTTTTTGGCACATAGTAATGTTGTATTCATTAAAAAAAAATTAAAAAGGGCCCCAGCCTGGTTCAGTCAGTGGAGCATGAGATTCTTGATCCTGAGGTCATAAGTTCAAGCTCCACTTTTGGGACTTGGGAGTAAAGTTGACCGAAAAATATTTTTTTTAATTAAAAAAAGAAACACAGGTAATTTGAGTACCACATATGGTTATCTATTGGACAGCACATGTCTAGAAACAGGAAGCACGATATTTGAGCCAAAATTCATTATTTGAAAACCTAAAGTTTTAAAATAACATAAACATACTTCTTTTTAAAATATTCTATTTCTCCTTTTAAAAGATTTATTTATTATTTTAGAGAAAGTGTGCAGTAATAAGAGAAGGCAGTGGGGGGTAAGGCAGAGGGAGAGAGAATCCTGAAGCAAACTCCCCACTGAGCAAGGAGCCCAAGGGGCTCCATCCCAGGACCCTGAGATCATGACCTGAGCCAAAATCAAGAGTAGGTCACTTAACTGACTGAGCCATCCAGGGGCCCCAGATTTTATTTATAAGTAATTCTACACCCAGTGTGGGGTTCAAATATACAACCCCAAGATTAAGAGTCACACAGTCCACTGACTGAGCCAGCCTGGCACCCCAAGCATACTTTTTAATTGCAGTGTGGCTATGACATATCCATTACCTGAGCTCTTACTTCCATTATTCCAAATGTGATTTTAAAAAATAGATCAGATTCTGAAGTTACATCTCAGCTCAAGTTTTGTTTTTAACTTAGTTTACTAAAATAAGAATACCTTAAGAGAAATAAAGACTATAGGTCTATGGACATCTTTGAAGAGTCTGGATATAATTCTAATTAAGAAGAGATGATATGCATGTCACAGTCCTGAGCGGAGAATTGATTTAAGAATTGTAGAGGGATCCCTGGGTGGCGCAGCGGTTTAGCGCCTGCCTTTGGCCCAGGGCGCAATCCTGGAGACCCGGGATCGAATCCCACGTCGGGCTCCCGGTGCATGGAGCCTGCTTCTCCTTCTGCCTATGTCTGCCTCTCTCTCTCTCTCTCTCTCTCTCTCTCTCTCTCTCTCTCTCTGTGACTATCATAAGTAAATAAAAATTAAAAAAATAAAGAATTGTAGAAATATTTTTATGCAAGCCTCAATCACTGATTAGATATGCTATACTTTCTAGGTCATTGTCCCCAGGACTGGCTCTGGCATGAAGAAAACTGTTACCTATTTTCCTCTGGCCCATTTAATTGGGAAAAAAGCCAGGAGAACTGCTTGTCTTTGGATGCCCAGATGCTGATAATTAATAGCACAGAGGATCTGGTGAGTTTTTATGGTTGTATTTAAGGCTGGAGTAGTGCCTTATAGGGAAATTAATGAGGTTTGCATCCTTGGTAGAGGAGTACATGTTTGAGAGTCAGAATACTTATTTTCTAGCCTCATCTGGTTGCCAGTTATGTGCATGACCTTGGGTAGAGAGATTACATAGTATCTCTAGGCTTCAGTAAACATTTTTGTAAAACCACGGAAAACATGTCAAAGATCTCTTTCAGTTCTTTAGTTTTCTGAATCTAGTCTAAAACAATCACCTGGACTTTATCATCACTTTAGATAAACTTTCCTCCCCACAGGAATTCATCCAGCAAGCAAGTTCCCATTCCAATTTCCCATTCTGGATGGGGTTGTCTCTGAGGAATCCCAGCAGCTCATGGCTCTGGGAGGACGGCTCTCCTTTGATGCCTCACTTGTAAGTTTCTATGCTCGCGAAGTTGCCTCCACATTTTATTTTATTTTTTAAAGATTTTATTTATTTATTCATGTGAGACACAGAGAGAGAGGCAGAGACGCAGGCAGAGGGAGAAGCAGGCTTTATGCTGGGAGCTTGATGTGGGACTCGATTCCGGGACTCCAGGATCACACCCTGGGCTGAAGGCGGCGCTAAACCGCTGAGCCACCCGGGCTGCCCCGCCTTCACATTTTAGTACAACGTCCTCTTCTTGCCAGGGAGAAGCTTGGGGAACTTCTGAACACCTCCTTCTCCACCTCTGTCACACAGAGACTTGCCCTTGTAGCCAGCCATTCAGACCTTCTCTGGAGTTTTCCTTCCACATTTATTACTGGTTTGAAACTTTAAGACAATGTTAAATTTTGAGACAAGGTGGCAGTAAATACTTCCCCCCCCCTCCTTTTTCCCCTTCCCCACTTGCAGGTTTAGACTCCAGGGTCCTGTTTCCTACGTCTATCCTTCAGGCAGCTGTGCATATTTACAAAGAGGAGCTGTTTTTGCTGACAACTGCATTTTAAGTGCATTCAGTATATGTCAGAAGAAAGCGAATCTATTGAGAGCACCATGAAGCCAAAGACTGTGGAAGAAAAGAGGGAGTGTTCTCTTCTGGAATTTAAGTTGCTTTTCGTCACTAGGTGCAAACCATGAGAGCCCTGAAAACTGTGTGTTGTTAGTTGACTGCAGAACTTCTTAGCAGAGAGCCTGGGCTTCCAGCTGCCTGGCACCTTGATAGCAGAAATTTGGATTCTGTCTGTCTCTCTGTTTTTCACCTAGGCTGTCCCAAGTTTCCCTGCCAGCCCTTCAATCCTTGTTGCCTTTTTTAGTTTAAAGCCTTACTCTTCTGTAAGTCTTAGGAGCCCTTTGTACTCAATCCTCTACCTCAGTACCACCTTCCCCTCACCCTCCTAAACCACATAGGAGATCGAAGGAACTTGGAGAACTGGCCCAACCACAGGCAGAGAGAGGAAAAGGGGAAATATGCATGTCAACAGAGCCCATGAAGGAACAGAAAAGGGGAAAGGCCATACTGGGATCCAGAAACTTGTGTTCTCAATGTTAAAAGCTACCCTTTGTTGGTCTTCTAAATTGTGGTCTTTCTCCAGATTACACACGTGCACACACAACACACCCACCTATGCCACATCATCACATTTTGGGGCAACAGGGATGTCCCAGGACGTAGTTACAAACTGAATGATCTTGCCAGTCAATTAATCACAATTCATTATTAGTTTCAGAATCTATATTTCTTCACCCTTTCTCTATCAAAGGACAGCTTCAATGCCTTACCCCTTCAGAATAGTATTTGTTAGAATCACGGGCCTGAGGCAAAAATAGTTTTTTGTTTGTTTGTTTATCTGAAATACACACCATTTGTAGATTTCTTCTCAACTCTGTTGTGCTGTGCTAATGTGGAAACATACAAGGACAAAATATGAGCGCATTCAGTTAAAGAACAAATTGAGCCAGGTATGGAAATAAAGATGAATAGAAACAGATGGAATTAGAAGCATTCCTTTATTTCCAGTATTTCTATTCCCTACCTCCCTTCACAGGTTATTCTACTTTAAAGGAAGCCTTTTTATTTTGTTGCACATAATCTAGCACAGACTTTTTTTTGTTTTAAAGAGAAACCTGTTTTGTTCCTAGGAAGACAAGAGATTTTCTCTTTTATTAACATGTTCATTGAGGTTTAATCGGCATATAACAAACTGAACCTATTTAAAGTACACAATAGTTAAGTTTTCATATATATGAACATGTCCTCTTGAAATCACTACCACAATTAGGATAGTGAACATTTCCATCATCCCTCTGACTTTTATCTTGCCCCTCCCTCATGCCTTCTCCTTGGACAACCACCAATCTGCTTTCGGTTTGTGTTTTGTAGCATTTTACCTGAATGAAGTCAAACAGTATGCCTTTTTGTTTATTTTTGGTCTTAGCATAATCATTTTGAGATTCATCCATCTTCTTGCTTGCATCAATTCTTTCATTCCTTTTAAATGTTGAGTATTATTCCATTGTATGAATATACCCCATTTTGTTGATAAATTACCTGTTGATAACCATTTGGTTGTTTTCAGTATTTGTCTATCACAAATAAAGGTGCTAGAAACATTTGAGCGCAAGTCTTTGTATATACATGGCATTTCTGTTGGGTAAATGCTTAGGAGTTTAATGTCAGGATCACTCAATAGGTGTATGTTCAGCTATTTGAGAAATTGTCAAATTATTTTCCAAAGTTTTTCCATTTGATATTTCTACCAGCAGAGTATGAATGTTCCAATCCCACCTATCCTTTCTAACACTTGGTATGGTGAGTCTTGTAATTATAACCATTATCATAGGTGTATGGTGGTATATTGCTGTGGTTTAACTTGCATTTCGTAAGTGAAGAAATAATCTTGAGGTCTTTTTATCTACTTCTATTGCTTATATACTATCTACATATTTTCCTTGATAACGTAATGTACAACTCTTCTGAGAAGTTTTGAGTTGTATGTTTTTTATTGTTACATTTTGAGAGCCCTTTGCATATGTCGGGTAAAAGTCCTTTATCAGATGTCCTTTGATCTTTTTTGTTTTTGTTTTTCAGTTTATGGTTTGACTTTTCATTCTCTGGAAAAGCAGTTTTAAATTTTGATAAAAGCCATTTTCGTGTTTTTAACTGGTGTTCCTAAGAACTTGTTGCCAAACTCAAAGTCACAAAATTTTCTCCTGTATTTTCTTATAGATATTTTATATTTCCAGGTTTTACATGGCATGGAAATCTAGAACTTATTTTGGGTTATGTATTTGTTTTTGAGTCATGTATTAGTCTAAGTCATGTACTAAAGTTCTCTCTCTCTTTATTGTTATATTTATTTTGCATATGGATATTCAATTGATTTAGCAACATTTGTTGAAAAGACTATCCTTTTTTCACTACATTACATTTGCACTTTTGTCAACAATCAGTTACCCAAACATGCATGGGCCTATTTCTGTCTCTCTATTCTGTTCCATTGATCTCCTTATATATTTTTACAATATGACTATGAATGTTGCAGTTTCTCAAAATCATGCAGTGATAATTCTTCAACGTTGTTCTTTTCCAAGTTTGGTTAATCTATGTCTTTGTATTTCCATGTTAACTTTTGAATCAGCTTATTAATTTCTAAAAACAAATGAGCGAACTGTTGAAATTTTAAATGTGATTATATTGAATCTTTTAGAAAAAAATTGGGTAAAATTGTAATTTAAAAAATACTGATTTGTTCAACTAATAAACAAGATATATCTCTCCATTTACTGAAGTGTTCTTTCATTTCTCTAAGCAATATTTTATCATTTTCTCTATATAGATGTTTCACATATTTTTTTTAGATTATCACAATATATTTCATATGTTTTATTCTACTGGAGATGGTATTGTTATCATTTGTAATTTTAATCTCCAAATGTCTCTTGATGGTATATAGAATTATAATATTTTTTATAATAACCTTAAATCCTGAAACACTTACCTTTTCTAGTACTTTGTTTATGTGTGTGTGTGTATTCCATTGGATTTTTTACACAGATAATCATGTCATCTGCAAATAAAAACACTTTCATTTTTTCCTTTCTGGATAATTTTTATTTCCTTTCCTTGCTAGATTTCATAGACTAGATAGACCCTCTAGTAAACAATAAAAGAAAGTGGTGAGAGTGAAAGTCCTTATTTTTTCTTCATCTTGGAAGAAATATTTTGTTATTATCATTTTAATATCTCAAGGATTTGTATCAATGCAACTTCTCTCATTCTTGACATTGTTAATTTTTGTCTTCTTTTCCTAATTAGTTTGGTTTAGAAGAAAAAGTTCATTTTTCTTCTTGATGAAACTTTTTTTCATTGAATTTACTTTTTTTTATAAAAAATCATCTATGGCCTATGTTTTCTATTTTATTAATTTCTGCTTCAATTGATATATCTTTTTCATTCTTCTCCTTAATTATATTTTAATGTCTTCTTCTTTTTCTAGTTTCTTAAGATGAATGCTCAGTTCAGGGGCACCTGGGTGGCTCAGTTTGTTAAGCATTTGCCTTTGGCTCAGGTCATGATCTCAGAGTCTTGGAATCAAGCCCCACAATGGGCTTCCTGCTCAGAAGCCTGCTTCTCTTCCCTCTGCCTGCTTCTCTCTTTGCCTGTGCTTTCCATCTCTCTGTCAAATGAATAAATAAAAGTCTTTTAAAAAAAGATGAAAACTCAGTTCATTGATTTCAGATCTTTTTTTTTTAAAATACACTCATATTGTGTTATACATTTCCCTTTAAGCGCTAACTGTAATGGTATACAACAAATTCTGATTTTTTTTCCATATTCATTCAGTTCAAAATACTTGCTAATTTCCCTTTAATTTCTGCTATTTCATAACCCCCTCGGGAGCTTCTTATTCCTGGGTGAAATCTGAAACTGCTGCCTCTTTCTTACTCAAAGGGCAAAGAGAGGCAGGCTACTCCAGATTGGGAGGTGGCAGGTTTAATAAGCAAAGGGAATTTAGAGACAAGGCTTGTCTCAGGTATCAACAAGACTAGTTAATCCCCTACACACCTTCCAAATATTAAAAAATTTCTACAGAAGCCTTAACTGGGCTCAACCATGCACACCAGGCAGGTGTTCTCATTACCACAGCACTATGTCAAGACTATTTCCTTGGAGCAGCTCCTGGTAGTAGGAAAGGCAGACAGAACCCATATTTGAAAGACAGGGGAGGGAACAAGGAACCTCTGACTCCTGGTCCAGCTCATAGGTCAATTGAAGGTCATGTCTTTTTTGATGACCTTCCCCAAAACTCTACCCATCATAACTGGTTCTTAAAATCTCATGTACCCCTTCTTTTGCAATGTGCCATGAGTGGTCAGTATGGAGGTGGCTGTTTGGGTAGGTATCTGGCTCCACTGGAGGCAGATACCACAGCAGTAATATAGGTATACGTAAGAGAAAACATAGATTCAAACAATGATTCCAAAAAAAAAAATCAGTGACACATTTTTTTTTTTCTACCAAGAGACCCATGATCCCAACCATTGATTAACTCATTTGGAATGGGGGTTGGATCACTTAGGGCATTTATTTGTGTTATTCTATCATTTAATAAAGATGATACATTCTCAGATTTATTAAGTATGAACACATAACATTCTGGGTGGATAACACCACAGGTGCCTCCTTGAGAGACAGTAATAATGTCTAAGGCCATTCTATTTCTGAAGACTCTCATTAGAGTTATTTCAGCATTCAGTAAGGACAGGTTGTGTTGACTATCATTTAAGGCTTGATGGGTGAATTTAGTAAGAGCTTCTTTTTGTGCTGTAACATCCTCTAAACCAATGGGAAGCAAAGATAGTAGCCAAATAATGAACCAGTAGAAGACAGAATGTGCTCACCTGGCCTTGAGGAGAAGAAAGTTGGCAGTTTTAGGAACTGACATGTTTGTACATACCTCTGGGTGAAGCAGCGTTGTCAGGCATAAGGAGATGGACTAAAGACAGGATATGCCAGACTAGTACCCTATCTTCTCTCTTTCAATGATGCATGTTCCATTCCATGTATATATTTCAATAGGTCCATCTTGTATTGGGAAACATAATTTCAGCAGAGATTGAATAGTTTCCCCTCACCCAGAAGGTACAAAGCAATTCATCCATCTTGGGAGGATGTCTCATTGCAAATTCCAGTAGATAACTTTTTGGACTTTTTGCCCTCAGCAGCATGGAACATTAATCTAAAGATTAATCAGGTCAATGACTGTTTCCCAAGACTTCCATACTTTTCTGGGATTTGTGCCTCAGCCAGGGCCCCTAGTCTGGCATATGGAGTGACAGACCCTACTCGTTGATCATTCAAATGTATTAAAGTCTAGGGTGGTACATTAGCCCACCCAGTCAAGGTGATTTTATCTGTTAATAATTTAATTTGCTGTTTTGATATTTCATTTTTCCTTTCTACCAACCCTGCTGCTTGCCATTTACAGAGGAGATGGAACATCCAATATAAATTCTTTTTGCCCAGTGTTGTACATCATGAACTTTGGAATGTCACTCCTCACTACTGTCTATCCATGGTACTCAGCTTCTCTCATCCCCTAATTGTTGCAGCCTGGTTTGCCCAGTGGCAGGGGAAAGCTTGGGTTAGGTCAGACTCAGTGTCCACACAAACCATGGCATATTTAGAACCCTCACTCAGAGAAAGGGAGCCAATGTAATCAATTTGTCAATCCCTTATTGACTTAGAACTTTAGTGGATGCTCCCAGATTCTTTTGGCTGTTGTCCTGGACAGTAACAGGACATGCTGTTACTTGATTAACCAAGTCACTGCACTTCAAGGGCAATCCAGCATTCTTGACAATATGCTCTCCCACCCAGGCACTGTGGTGGTCACTCTTTCTATGCTCTATCTGCTCCAGCTATTGAAGGGTCAGTAGATAGGGTTGGTAACTGAGCTAGAGTATCAGCTTTCTGACTTCCATGGGTGTCAGTGATTTGTGAGCTGGGGCAGAGAAGACAGTGAAGAGTACCTCAGGCTCTTGCAGATGGACCCAAATGTCTTTTACATATCCTGCCTCCACAAGGGCTTATTTATGATCATTCATCCCCTAGCTTCTCATTGTCCAAGCCATAGGATTATTCCCGCTGGAACAGCCCAACTGTCAGTGCACAGGGATAATGACCAGGACTCATGAGTGATTATCAGACAGATTGCTTTGAGCTCAGCCCACTGGTTACTGCGCTGGTGGCTGCATGAGAGGCTCTACCTGGAGGAACACTGTGTGCATCATTAGGAGCTGTTGCTCTAGGAGTATATTGGGTTTCTACCCCCTTCCAGAGCTGGAACCAAAATCCTGGGAATACTCTTCCTATTTTGGGTCTCTGCCATAGTGCTCAACCCATCCCTTCTGGAGTCATACACACATGTAACTCAAATGGTAGCCCTGCTTGAGAGACATCCAGAACTTTAATCTACTTAACTAGAACTTTGGCTTTTTGCTCTGATCCTTAGTCCCATATACACCCTTTCTTTATGAGGCAGCATAAGGAATGGAGGCACTGAGCCAGGTAGAGAATAAAACCCCATAATCCCTAGAGAGGGTTGAACCTTATTAATGACAGCTTTGGGGGCAACATGGGTTTTATCCGACCAAACAACATCTCAAATCTGACAGCAGTGCCTGGGCCTTGAATTTTCTATAAGTCCATTACCGATCTTCTCCTTTACAGATACTCCAGGAAAGTCTGCAGAGTGTCCTGCAGCAGAGGCAAGTCTTCCCATGTTAACATTGTATCATCAATGTAAGGGGCCCATCTTACTGATATGGGGAAGGAGAACAGGGACAGGCTCCAGCTACTATCCCACGACACAGTGGGGATGTGCAGGCAGCTTTGGGGGAACACTTGAAAGGTTCATCACTGTCCCTCCCACATGAAGGCAAATTGATCTTAGTTATCAGAACCGTGTGCTTGTCAAAGTCTTTTTAATGAATCTCCCTGAATACAAAATGCTTTCCCAGGATTTTTTAAAAATTTATTTTATTTTTTTGCCAAAGCATCAGAGTAAAACAGTAACTGTTTGAAAATGACAAAAGACTTAAAGATGGCTATGGCTAAAGATTTGATGAGAGTTCATCATAATGAAATTGACAAGGAATTTGGTTATTTCTATGACATACATTTAAAAATTGTGATTGGTAAAGTTATACCAGGAGATATCAGATATTAGGAATTTTTTACAAATATACCCTCAAGAAAGTTTAGCATCACTTTTCAATGCTTCTCATGAAATTTAACATAGACAAAAAGTTACATAGTTGTTAAAAAAAAAACTTAGCTCTTTTAATAGAGAAGAAAAAAAGAAAAAAGAAGACTCAGTTTCTTAAGTAATAAAAAACCTGATAAAGACAAAACATGGAATCTTTATTTTCAAGGCAGATCATATTAAACATAAAGGAAAATCTTCATTTATAATTTCATATTCAGAGAAGACCGATAATAAATGAAAACTTTGTCCTCCTACCAGAAAGAAAACCAAATTTTCATTTTCCTATGGTTACTTTTGATATCAAAACTTTTTTAAAACAAACAAGCCTTACATAAATCAACTCCAATCTTAACTTGATTATTATTTTCTCAATATTCCTTTTCCAGAAACTTTCCACAACTTTCTAAACCCATTTAGTTGTCATTCCAAAATTCCAGCCATGTGTCGGGTACCCAGCTTTTCACTGATATTTGTGATCTTTTGGAGGCTATGGACTGGATTTG